TCCATGTGGCGAGCCGGGCTAGAGGGGGACACGGGAAAAGACATAAATCTCGGCGAGTTTGGTGTCTGCTCCACGGGACGGAGGGCGAGATGAAGTTTCAGAAATGGTCTATAGGCCAGGCTCAGTGGGTCAGTGGGAGTACGGTCGAAGTACAGCTGTCAGGATGTGGGAATGATGTGGCGACAAACCCGTTCACTACAGCTGAGCTGCTTCTTCTAGGACAGCGACCACGTGACCGGCCGTGTGTGGGTCGCTCCATTCGCAGTGACGAGTCGTACAGCGCGCACTCGTCTGTCCGGTCCTGGCAGGAGCTCTGTTCTCGAACCAGGGACCAGAGTCCTTTCGATGTGCCAGGTTTTGGGATTTTTTTCTTTCTTCCATCGGCTCCGGATGTGTCGTAGCATCCAGAGTTTCTCCTTGAGGATCTGCACCGTGATCCGATACGGAGCGGCGATCCTCACGGGGTCGAAGATAACCGCAGTTCTCCTGAGCGCTCCTCGTCTGGTCGTCTGCTTCTTACTGTCTGGGAACTGGGCACTCGGCGAGTCTCGCTCTTCGTCCCAGACAGCACCCAGAGCTCCTTCCGCAGGGAGATAGGTGTCATCGTAGTCCGCATCGGGGTGTGCTTGTCTCACATATGGTGTGCTGCTTTGCACTTCACTCGTGTTGTTCATCTGGTTTTCGAGCCGTAAGTTTTCCTTTGTGAGCAGATCGGGACCATCTCTTCTTACTGCTCTGGCGGCCTCTGACACGGTTCGTTCTGGTTGATGGGCGTCGTCCATACAGACACTGCCGTGTCGCGCTTTCGTGGTCTCTGTCTTCAGTTTGACTTGTGCATCTGCATCATGATCGGTGACTGTTTTCTGCGGCACAAGGTCAGCGGACGCCAGCCACGATTCGGTTTTGAAGACGTTTTCTTCCTTCTCGTTCTGGTCTGATTTTTGTCCGTCGTTCAGGTCAGGCGAGAGGCGGTTTTGAGCCGTTCTTTCTTGTCGGATGAACTGTTTCTGATCAGCCGTCTCCTGGATATCCGCTACGCAGGCCACAGCCCTTTCCTGGAATCGTTGCGGGACGTCAGTTTGACTTTTCCGCATGTCTGACTCAGCGAGTGGTCGATTGTTGCACGAGGCGCCAAGCACCTGGGCAGCAGCGTCGGAGTCGGAGATCACCTGGATTTCCGGGTCTTCGCTCGGTTTTCTGGCTGAGGGATGCTGCAGGGATTTTGCTGCCTCAGCTGTTTCACCTGGGTTCACTTTTCGGAGGCGTCCTTCTTTCGAGCAGGATTCTTGAGTCACCTCTTTCAGGTTCTTGTTGCTAGCGAGTTCTTTTTCCGAGCTCAGCAGGTCTGGCCCAGCGGGTAGCTGGTTGTCGAATGAGATGCCAAGTACCTGGGCAGTAGCGATGGAGATCCATCTGGTTGTCACTTTCTGGCTGTCCGTAACTTTCAACTTCTGGACACTTTCTGACGCCGGTATCCTATCTTTGGGTAACTCGTCGATCCACGATGGTCTGCTGATCTGAGGGCTAGCTGGGACGGGGCTAGCAGGGAGAGGGAGAGGACAGTGGAATGATATTTCGGACTGCGGGAGTCTCGTAGTAACCGTTCGCTGTCCTTCCCGTTCAGCTTTCATGAAGTCGTCCCTTCTGCCGGCGTTTCGTCGATCATTCATCTGCTGTCGCCATTGTGCCTCTAGTGCAGCTTGTTCCATTTCATCTTTTGCGATTTGCAGCTCACGTCGTCTTCTCACTTCATCTTCATGACGCTTCAACTCCTCTTGCTGCCGCCTCAACTTCTCTTCTTGTTGCTGCTTTCGCTCCGCTTCCTGTCGCTCCATCTCCAGTCGTTTTTCCAACTGTTTCACATGCAGAGCCCTTTTTCGCGCCGTGAGCTGAGCCTCAGCGGATGCGCGGGATGCTGACGAACTGGAACTCACCTCAGGGCGCGGCTGCTGCAGCGTCGAAACCTCCATGGTTTCTTCAGTTTCTATCGTCACAGGAACTCCGCCGACAGCGCCTTCACTTTGCGGTCTCCCTTCTTGTTTTTCCATTTTCGATGAAGTTTCCTCCGCTTCTGATTTCTTCTGGCCTGATCCGGCCCGGAGGACCATTAAATGTCGCCGACCCTGACGAGCCTCTGATGGGGGCCGGGACATTTATTGTAGCGGAGGAAAAACTTCGATGAATTTTGAAGAATGTATTGAAGAAATCCGGACGATAGATGATGACGAACGGTAGACGAGGGTGAAATGAGGAGCGCAGAGTAGACAGGTGGACCAGAGAAAAACACAGTGAGCACTGTCGATGAAGTTCACTGTTCAGAGTTCAGATGACACATCGGCGCCGCCGCGGACGGGGCGCCGTCAGAGCCGTTCACTGCACTGCAATACGCCGGCGCTCGTCGGGGCGCCGGCGAATTCGCGCACTGCCACTGAGCTGGGCTCAGTGGCGTTCACTGGGCACACGAACGGGGGTGCCCTCGGAATCGTGCTCGGTGGCACGACTCCGTCACTGTTCACGTTGGCAACCCGCTGGGGGTGCCGTCGGAATCGCGCACGATTCCGTCACGGGTTCACTACACCGGCGCACATCGGGGCGCCGGCGGAGCCGCGCACCGCCACCGAGGACTGTACCCGGTGGCGTTCAAGTGGAGACTGCCCGCAGCGACTCGAGGAGCCGCCGCGGGCACAAAGAACAATCAGTCGTACATCTAAAAGCAATTAGAATATGAAACGAGAAACCTGTGAGAAGAGCCAGAGCAGGCTCGCGCGGCACGTTCGGTTATACGATACGGCGGCGGCGAGCACGAACAGCCGTCAAGTGTGAAGCGATAGCGCGAGTGACAAATTGTAGGCAATTAGAACTTGAGACGAGAAACTAACACAACAGCTGGTCCAGGCTCACGGGGCATGACCAGTACTGCGATAGATCACGCGTGGCTGTCAAATGTAAAACGAAAGAGAAGAACAACAGGGCAGTTCATTTCGTCGGTGACAGCGGTCATCCCCCCCCGTCGGTGCGAAGTTGGCGCAGACCCCCGTCGGTGCGCGGGTTAACCCGGCGGCCGCTGGGCCTCCACGCCACCCGCCGGCCGCTGGGGGGGGGGGGGGCATATAGTTGCCCCCCCTTTACTTCCGAGGCGATATCGTCGCAACGCGAAGAGATAGAGAAGCGAAACTTTGCACACATCTTTCTGAATACCTAGCCGAGGTTGTGTCCAAATTTGGTATCGATCCCATTTGAAATGACGTCACAGTGACGTCATAAGTCAAATTATAGATTTGCGACTCTCAGTTTCCTCACGATACATCAGGCATATGGGACCGAATATATAGGGCCGATTATTGGTTAGGAACTAGATGGAAGTGTACTTAGATGTTTTAGGATGACAGCAGGTGCTGTCTAGTTCATTTACAGTTCAGTTTCATGCTCAGCGTCATCAGCAACGGTCCATATCGGAAAACGACAAAACTTTATGACGTCACTGTGACGTCATCTTAGATGCTACAACCACCAAACTTTCCTCAAACATTGCCTAGGTATTCATTTGAAGCTATGCCAAGTTTCACGTTCGTAGCTCATCAGGTTTCGGAGATATTCCACAAAACGTAAAGGGGGGCAACTTTATGCCCCCCCCCCCAGCGGCTCGTGGGTTAAATGTTGCTACTTAACCCGCGACCGCCTGGGGGGGGGTCGGATCCGACCCCCCTCCGTTTTTCTGGAATAACTCAAGAACCGCTTACGCTATCAACTTGAAACTTGGCATACCTTCTCCCCCATCAATTTGACGTCTTCTGTGTAATTTTTAAGAAAAAATTTCCAATTTTTTTTAGATATATCGATTTTAGTGATGTAATTACATGGCGTTTTTAGTCAAAAAGTGGTAAATGTTTAAAAATCGCCAAAAATCAGGGTTTAAAGCGAATTGTAAATTAAGGACATAAATAGACGCAGCTCAAAGAGTTCTTTAAAATGGCTATATCGGATTTTCCATAAAATGCGTTTCTCACCCCTAAAAATTAAAAAAACTACATTTTTTGGAAAACAGCTAATAAAATCCAAAATTTTGAGAATTTCCAAAAAAAACCGGAATATATGTTATAGAGCTCTATTAGAACATTAGATGTCCCAACTTTCAACTTTCTATCTTGATTTTTGACCCCCAAATTGTAAAAAATAGCTCCAGCATGCATAGGGCATGGTGACGTCATAAGCATTTTTGTGAATTAGAGGCACTTTTGAACATCGCATGTGAAAACAAATGGCACCACTAGATTCCTGGGACAAAGCTCGTCTAGAAAAGTGCATTTTTTTGTCAAAAATAAAAAGTTGAAAAATTGACCTTTTTCTCAGCCCTCGTTTAGTTAGGTATGTATGGTATAAACGATCTTTTATGCTCTCAATGCACACTTATCACCAGCACAGTGACTTGGGGTCACATATAACCATTACCATCGGATTCGGCGTGAAAAATAAGCCATAAAACATGTGTCGCACGCCCATGTAGCAGAAAGTGAAAACCGTGACCTTTCGTGACCTGACCTGACCTTGACCCGTACTTAGTATGACCCCTATACGCACATGGTACCTTCACTAGGCCTTTGAGGTCATTTTTGGTGAGTTTCGAGCAGCAGCTATCGATTCCGCTGTCCGTAAGCCTAATCATGCCAAACCCCCCGAATTTGACCTTTGACCTGACCTTGACCCGAAAGTTGACCTCAATCTTAAAATCTTAAGAGTGCTTTGGGAAGGTCTCGTAGAGACCTTTCGAACGCCGCCTCGCGGGGCTCGATGCGACCATTGGTTCTCGAGATAACAGGGGGGGGGGGTCGGATCCGACCCCCCCCCCCAGGCTGTCGTGGGTACGGAAATAGCCCAGGCGGTGCCAGGTTAAAATGTTGACGCATCGCTGTTATCCATAAAATTACCAACTATATTTTTCGCTTTTGGTCCTGTTCGTTCAGTTACCAATTGCCTCTTTCACAGCGTCAATCTCAGACACCATGACAACCATTCACCAGCCTCCTGTTGGGACGGCAGACTGCCTTCCGTCGGCTCAGGACAGCCCGGCACCGGGCCCCACCAATCTGCCCTCTGCGGCCACCGGTATCATCAGGGTCCGACTAACCAGGAGGGACGGCGCTCCGTTGGGGTTCCGCGTGGCCTGGTGTCTTCCGCCCAGGTGGGTGCTAACCATTGACTTCTATAGTAACCAACCATAGAGGTCAATGGTGCTAACTGCTGAGTGCTGACTGCAACTAAGTCATAACGTCATAACGTTCTTGCGCCTTGTATGTATTGTGTCGCTGTTGTAAGGCGGACGTTTGATCAATAGAGATGGATGCTCATGTGTATTGGATTATTTCGACTACAAGCTATTGTGAAATGTATCGATGAGACATTTGCATATTGGATGAAAAGTCGTACAACACCTTTTCCCATTAATTTAGTGATTGAAAAATAATTATATTCATATGCATTTTGCAGCACAGCTTCTACAAATTTACCTATCTAAACAAGTTGGCCTCTGAAATCGTCCGTATCTTCTCGTAAACACTCTTCCTATAAGTCAAGCTTCGTCTCCAAGCATAATACTTTAGTTGATTACTTTAACCCGCGCCCTGGTGGGGTCTGTTTATAACGCGACCTGGTGGGGGGGGCTATTTTTTGCCCCCCCCCCCTCGTATCTCCGAAACTACTGGACAGATCCGCAAAATTCAAACGGCGTTCGAAAGGCCTGTCAAATTTGTAGAAGGAAACCAAATTTCATTGACCTCGGGGTCACCGATGACGTCACAGGTCAGGTCAAAGGTGAAATGTTTCACCGTTCACGGGTCTTCTAGGGAATGCGCTATAACACCGAGGAAAACGCATTTTGTCGAGAATCAGCGATAGGGCGTCAGTTGCCTAGTAGATATGTTGCTATTAGAGGTCACTGACAATACCAGGTCACGTCACAGGTCAGGTCACCAAGGGTCACAGGTCAGGTCACATGAGCCCAACTTCACTAAGGTTGTGTGATGCATGTTTTATGGCCAATTTTTCATTTCCAACTCAATGGTGTTGGTTATAAGACTATCAGGTACGGCTTAGGTCACTTTCTGGTGAAGTTCAGGTCAAGGTCAGGTCAAGGTCAGGCCAAAAAAGTCAAATTTTAAAGTTGATAGTTTTGCATAAAATGGGTATTGATTCGATGCAGCTCGTCACGGGGAGTCTAATGGTGGTCTTTGTTTTGCGCTACGGGGTCTAGAATTGCTAAAAATTGAGTTTGAAAATTTGACTTCATCAATTTTGAACAGTTTTTTCGCTATAACTTCGCCAAAAAAGAGTTATCAATCTCAAATTTGGTATGTGGATGGAAGGCGGTAAGGACTATCACATATATTCCGGTTTTTGCGAAATTCAAAAAACTTTTTGGATTTTTAGATCATTATATCCAAAAAAATTGATTTTTTGATTTTTGGGGGTCAAAATCCAAAAATTTCAAAAATCCGAGATAGCAGTTTTGTAGCCCTGTCAATTCTACAGCTTTTATGTCCGTATCATTTTTCTGTATTTGCAAAGCTATAGGCCTGACAGCTCTTCCCGTGAAACCCTTTTTTGGGTCGAAAACGGCAGAACATGACGTCACTCTGACGTCATTTCCGGCCAACCTATCATAGCTTTTGGGAAAATTTTTGGTCACCATATGTAAAATTGATGTCCAGGAGGGTACTGAAAGTTTGGTGACGATCGGCGCAGCGGTTGTGGAGATATATCGAAAAGTCTGGAGGGGGGGGGGGCAAAAAATAGCCCCCCCCCCACCAGGTCGCGGGTTAATCTCTCTTGACTATCTCCCTCTCTTTTATCTCTCTGTCGAATATTTTTTTCTCTCTCTCTCTTTTTCTCTCTTTCTCTCTCTCTCTCTCTCTCTCTCTCTCTCTCTCTCTCTCTCTCTCTCTCTCTCTCTCTCTCTCTCTCTCTCTCTCTCTCTCTCTCTCTCCCTCCCTCTCGCCCGTCCGCCAGAGTGGAGGCCGTCCACGAGGGTACTCTGGCCTTCGAGGCTGGAATTCTGCCCGGGGACCGTCTCCTTTCGGCCGCTGGTGTCAGATTTAGCGACCTCACTGAGGACGATTCTATTCAACTGCTGAGGTGAGGGGGCTCCTCCGGAGGTCGTGACACATACCGGAAGTGCATACCTATATCTTGAGCTCATAGCTAAGGCTTTTGTCGGCCTATACTGTGCAGTGTGCACATTTCACTACCTGATTAGCGATTTGGAGTAATTTTTTTTTTTTTAATTAAGGAAAACTTGCAGGAACCAAGCGTGAAAGATAACGTGTGGTCACGTTTCACTTGTGTAAAAAATAAGCGTCCTCCGAAGCCAAAATGTTGCCAGCAGATCGTCTCCTTTCAGCCAAAATGCTTATGTTTATGTTTATTTGCTCATCACCAACAGGTACAGATAAAACCCGGTTACAGGTGAAGTAAAGTTATGAAGTTTTAAGTTGACGTATTTGTAGGCATCAGAACAAGTTTCGAAGTTTCTGCCACTCATCTCACGCCACTCAAAGGCTACCAGACATGTGCATGGATCCGAGAAAATGGATCTGGGACCTGATCCCACGGATCCTGATCTCGGATCCGTCGGGATCATAGATCCAGCTCTTTAATTTATCTAGAGATCCGTAGGGATCATAGATCCGATGCTAGTATTTTTGCTTGAGATCCAGTGGGATCATAGATCCTCATTTATTTTTGATCAACACAGAAATCCCAAAAGATCACTCGTTGCAACTCACAAGCGTTCTTATTTAGTTATTATATGTGATAACACGTCATAATCCATCGTTTTAAGGCACTTATTGACATAGAAACACTTGGAAACCTGGTTTCGAATGTTGTGCATGGTGGGATCCACTCAGATCATAGATCCATGTCCTTGGTTTATCGTCAGATCCTGTGAGATCATAGATCCAGGATAAATTTTTCACGCCAGATTCGATGGGATCATAGATCCGAACCTGCAATTTGCCTAGAGATCCACTGAGATCATAGATCCATCACTCGGATCCATGCACATGTCTGAAGGCTACCGCTCATCCACTTCCGGACAAAACGGCCTCGCTTGATCTGCGAGCGCCGACCGCCGCGCAGGCGCCGCGTCTGCCAGGTAGACTGTTCCGCAGGACCGCTGTGTCCTGCGGAACAGTCTACCTCTGAAGGCAGTCCAGCTCTGTAACCAACTTGCGAATTTGAAAATTGTCGGGAGTCAACATGTTCAGTAACAGTTCAATTGCAATAAAACAACTTTTTATGTGTACACAAAAGAAGAGTCTACGTGCCAGTAAATGAATACATTGAATAGGAAACTGCGCCCCAACAACGAAATCGGTGCTATGACATGGTCGTGAAAAAGGCGAACAAAACCCATGGATATCTTATTCTCAAGGAATTCTTCTGAACTAACCCGGCACCGCCTGGGCTATTTCCGTACCCACGACAGCCTGGGGGGGGGTCGGATCCGACCCCCCCCCCTGTTATCTCGAGAACCAATGGTCGTATCGAGCCCCGCGAGGCGGCGTTCGAAAGGTCTCTACGAGACCTTCCCAAAGCACTCTTAAGATTTTAAGATTGAGGTCAACTTTCGGGTCAAGGTCAGGTCAAAGGTCAAATTCAGGGGTTTTGCATGAATCGGCTTACGGACAGCGGAATCGATAGCTGCTGCTCGAAACTCACCAAAAATGACCTCAAAGGCCTGGTGAAGGTACCATGTGCGTATAGGGGTCATACTAAGTACAGGTCAAGGTCATGTCAGGTCACGAAAGGTCACGGTTTTCACTTTCTGCTACGTGGGCGTGCGACACATGTTTTATGGCTTATTTTTCACGCCGAATCCGATGGTAATGGTTATATGTGACCCCAAGTCACTGTGCTGTTGATAAATGTGCATTGAAAGCATAAAAAATCGTAAATACTATACCTAACTAAACGGGGGCTAAGAAAAAAAGTCAATTTTTCAACTTTTTATTTTTGACATAAAAATGCACTTTTCTAGACGAGCTTTGTCCCAGGAATCTAGTGGTGTCATTTGTTTTCACATGCGATGTTCAGAAGTGCCTCTAATTCACGAAAATGCTTATGACGTCACCATGCCCTATGCATGTTGGAGCTATTTTTTACAATTTGGGGGTCAAAAATCAAGATAGAAAGTTGAAATTTGGGGCATCTTATGTTCTAATAAAGCTCTACAACATATAATCCGGTTTTTTGGAAATTCTCAAAATTTTGGATTTTATTAGCTGTTTTCCAAAAAATATAGTTTTTTGAAATTTTAGGGGTGAAAAACGCATTTTATGGAAAATCCGAGATAGCCATTTTAAAGAACTCGTTGAGTTGCGTCTTTTGATGTCCTTAATTGCAATTTGCTTCAAACCCTGATTTTTGGCGATTTTTTAAACTTTTACCACTTTTTGACCAAAAACGCCATGTAGTTACATCACTAAAATCGATATATCTCAAAAAATTTTAGAAATTTTTTCTTAAAAATTGCACAGGAGACGTCAAATTGATGGGGGAGAAGGTATGCCAAGTTTCAAGTAGATAGCGAGAGGGGTTCATGAGTTATTCAAGAAAAACGGGGGGGGTCGGATCCGACCCCCCCCCCCCCGGGTGGTCGCGGACTAATATGCATGTCACCTCTACGCCACATCGACAACAAAGAGTTTGTAGGTAGTTGCATTGAGATAAACTAATACCGTGTCTTTGTGTTCCTTTTCAGGGATATAAAGGGAACTGTAGATTTAGAAATATGGAGAGACGCGACACGGCCAAACTACCACGAGGAACGGATCGGTGCAAAGGTACGGAACATGCATGCCCATTGTACATTTCTCATTGCGTTTCTCGCGGCCGTAGTTCACAAATTAATTAGTGCGTCTACTCTGTGTTTATGCTCGTATTCTAACTTCCCACGCCTATTGTGCTCATATCTAACACCAGTTGCTTTGCGTTCGACCGCCAGCCGTCTGCGACTGAAGGCCTGGCACACAGTTCGGCTGACGGTCCGGCTGCCTCGGAAGGCTCCGCTGACCATCCGGCTGCTGCTTACGGTCCGACTGACAGTCTGGCCGCGGCTGACGGTCCGACTGACGGTTCGGTTAGCTGTCCGGCTGACGGTTCTGCTGAGGGTCCGGATGACAGTCTAACCGCGGCTGACTGTCCGACTGCCTCCGGTCCGGCTGAGCGCGTGCCTCGACCCGTCAGACACCTGGACTACTCGGCGCTTCTGCACGCGCTGGTGACTGCCGACCAGGCGCTCATCGGTCGTCTTCTGGCCGGTCCCCCAGCCGGTGAAACCTACCCGGCGTACCAGCAAGAAGACGGCCCGGTCCAGCTGCCCAGCCACGACCCTTCAGAGGAACGGGCAGCCTGCTCGATCGTGGTCGACCCTCCCGAGCCCCCGGGATCGGATGAAGCGGTGGACAACCAGCCTGGCTCAGCCGGGTCTGACGAATACCTCGCATCCTGCGCGGCGCCCTCAGATTTCAGCGTCCTCAGCTCGGAGCTGCAACAAGACATTCTACATAGCATTGAGCAGGTAATGTTTTTCCCTACTCAGTTTTGATACTCAACTAAAATGCTAATAAAATTCCCCTACATAGACCTGTTATAATTGGTAGGTTGTTGTAATGGTAATATTTATCGCCTGTGTAACTTGTTAATTGATCTTTTCAGATTATCTCGCACGTGGACGGCGTTGCTGACGAGGTTATGAGATCCATGGTGTCGGAAGATAACGGCTTCTTAGCCCTGAGAATCTTCTACAGAAATGTGAGCTCAAATGGGGTTCTATCACGCCATTTACATTCAACTCTTTCGACGCACGATGCGGGCCGGGGGTAACTTAACACACAATCTAACACCAAGGGTGGGATGCGCCACTTAAGAACATCTCGTTCAAACGCAGTTCCGGGCTGCGCGAAATCGTCCGGGCCGCGCGGCGCGCTCGTCGGTGTAACCCGCCGGCGACTTTGATTGGCCGACCGGCCGACGATCAATTTTGGCGCGCGCGGCACGGGTCGGTCGGCCGGCGGCGACGCGGCTGAATTCGAGCGCCGCCGTTGGCCCGGGCGCAGGCACGGGTGGTGGCGACCCGCCGGACGCGCGGTCGATACCGGCAGCGTGAGCCGTCGACGCTTTGTTGTGGCCGACCACGAGGGTCTGGTGGGCGCGAGCGGCGCAGTGGTGAGCCTTGGCGACCCTTTCAGCGACGGGACAGGTCAGTGCGCATAATTGAGGGCAGTGGGAGACTGACACAAGATACAGCGCCACATTACCCTCTCTGTTGCAGTTTTTCAAGTAAAACATGATAAATTTTTGGCTAGTCAATCTAATGCGAAGCTTGAAGAGTTCGGGAGCCACTTATGGCGGACTTGACGATGAGGTCATGGGACATGCGTAATGCGTATGAACCCAACAAAGTTCCCAAATTTACCGCCAAATGCGCAATTGGCGATGTGCGTTTCATTAGACATCGTGCAGTTCTTATAAAATTATACCTAGTCTTTATTTGATGCACACATGAGTTAAGTGCCCAAGCAGCTAAATCTAAGGTGACGACTGGCGATTCAATGGAAAGGCTGCAAATTTCAAATCAAACCCTGCAAACGGAATGTCATTCATCAACACCACATGTCCTATCACAACGTCTCAACATATCATGCGGAACCTAAAAGCACTTGTATCTGCCCGTCTTCGCTGAGCCTCTCCATCGACGTCCAGTTTGATCTTTTCTGGAGCCAAGTAATTCTCTAGTAATACGGTGTATGTATATTGTATAAGCTGACTGATCTAAGTTTCATGCTCGCACTGAACAAGCTCTAACATCCTATAAGGCGTATTTTAATAAGCTTCAATTGTTCATGGTGCCGCGAGATGTTCAACCGTTAACATCTGCGCCTATGTATATGAGCCGCTGTCAACCATACCGGTTAATTTCCAGTTGGACTCGAGCTGTGAATTGTTCCGGGCCTATTTCTCGGTGCTGGAGAGGGTAGCTGATGAGGCGGCCGGAAACTCGATACGCGAGGAGCTGCTGGAATTTCTTCAGATCCCAGCCAAGGTGAGCTACGGTCTGTAATCCAATTGGGCAGACGAGTTCAGTGAACACGGTCCCAGCATTGATACTAAGCTACTGTCGGTAGCGGAGTGTGCAAGTCAGATTGTTCATGAACGGTGCTGACAGGCTGATGACAATCATCACAAAAAGGGAGAGTGAGAGAGGGAGGGGAAAGAGAAAGAGAAAGAGAGAGAAAGAGAGAGAGAGAGAGAAAGAGAGAGAGAGAGAGAGAGAGAGAGAGAGAGAGAGAGAGAGAGAGAGAGAGAGAGAGAGAGAGAGAGAGAGAGAGAGAGAGAGAGAGAGAGAGAGAGAGAGAGAGAGAGAGAGCACCACTAATCGAGCAAAATTCGATTGGCGTGAACACATGCAAATAAAAAAATCCACTGCCTAGCTATTTGAAATAAACTTATCAGGACAGTATCAAAGAACTTACAAACAAATATTTTTATGCTAAATGTCTCACATTGTCAATAATTGGACTACCAACTTGACTTGTCTGCACTCTGGACTAATTCATATGTCTTGAACATTCCATATTGAATCAACAGCGTGGTTTCAGAACTCGAAATCATAAAAGCAGGCAAACGAAAGCCAACATCGTGCTACATTTCCGCTGCAGACTTTATATGCGATGCAATGCGAAGGCGCCTGACCTTTGAAACAGCACTCATTTCTACCTTACATTTTACATTATTACTTTCCTCCTGAGTGGGTTATTGTCAGAAAGTGCTGGACGAGCTATTCGTTCGGTCGATTGCTATCAGTGGCAAAAAAGTCATTAGGTACTCCGAAATGGCAATATCGCAAAGGCAAGACAGCGTTAAGAGCTGTGATACCAATGGACCTTTCACGTTTCTACGGGTATTTGGTATGGACTATGGATGCAGAAAAGTGTAGTTGTTCTAAATGAATCTGTATATGAATTATAAGTGGAAAACAATGGGAACGTTTTTGGTTATATTACTTTAAGTTGGCTACACATGTGTTTCGATATAAATCTTTTTCAAGCCATAAAGACAAAATAAAATGCAAATAATTCGCCTAAACATCAAAGTTGTCAAAATAGTTTGCGGCACAGATTAAAATTCAAATAGCAATGCTTCACACCCGTCGCTTCTCACTTTGCACTTCAGGTTTTTAGATCGTGCAAAATAAGTTCAGCCGTAAATCTGCTCAGTTTCACTTTTCCTGCATTACCATTTAGATTGTCAAAGATGTGAATATAAGCTGCTTCTACAGCCTGCCTATGCTTCTTTGTCAAACCCCTACACAACACAGACATATCATCCCAGTTGGGGAGATGTCCCGCCTCATCTACGTGTTGCACAAGGGCGTTGGACAGACGGTGGTACCTAAGGTCACTCTTATGCTCCTTTTGCCTGGTTCTAATGCCCCTGTATGTTTCACCGACGTAACATTTATCACATGCACCACAAGGAATTTTGTAAACGACACTATCCTCATTAGTAGAACCTTTCTTCTTCGTTTGCACAAGGTTTTTAATGGTCAGGCCCGCTGGGGATGAAATATTGATAGTTTCCCTTACAAAATTGTCCACAGCTTCTACTTCTTTTGATGCTGGGACTGAGAGATACCTCCTCTTGCTATTCCTTGTGGCGTTTGAAGCTCTAGCTCGTATTTTGACGGCCCTCTTCTCTAGCTGACATAAAAGACCTGGCGGGTACTTGAGTCCAATAAATACTTCTTTAATGTAGTTCAGCTCGTCCCTGATAAATTCTTCTGAGCAAATGCGAAGTGCTCGAAGATAAAATCCCAGCACGACTCCAGTTTTTGTTCGACTGCTGTGCGCCGAGTAGAAGTGTATCAGGTCATTCTTGTTGGTGGGCTTCCGGTACACTGAAAATACAGCCTTGTTGCCCCGATTATGGATGCACGCGTCCAGAAATGCAATAGTGCCATCTTCCTCCTCTTCGGAGGTAAATTGTATCTTCTGATGCACACTGTTCAGCTGCTGCAAAATACAATTTAAATCGACATCTTCGTTGATGATGACCAGAATGTCATCGACATACCGGAGCCAGGTCGTATCGGTACCAGCAATGCTCAAGAAGTGGTCCGCTTCTAATGTCTCCATGAAAAGGCAGGCGAGTACCGGGCTCAACGGCGAACCCATCGCCAGGCCATCAATCTGCTTGAATTCGGTCCCTTCAAATTCCAAAGCCCCAAATTCCACGCAGAGACGTACCAGCCTAACAAAGTCTTCCCTTGGCACTGGAAGAGTGATGTCCGGGTTTTGGTCTAACACTCTGGAGACAGCTTGCATCGCCCCTTCTATAGGCACGTTGGTAAAGAGGGCTTTTACGTCGAAGCTTGCAAGTTTTTTATTGGTTAACTCCATGTCTTTCAATCTATTAATCAAATCTCCCGAGTTCTTCAAGTGTGACTGGCTGGTTCTCCCTAGCAGGTCAGACAGGGGTTTGGCTAGTTTCTTGGCGAGCTGGTGGGGAGCGCTGCCCACACCTGAGGTAATGGGGCGCATCGGATTGCCAGCCTTATGCGTCTTGGGTAGGCCCCGCATCTTTGGAGTTGCCGGTTTTTCTTCTAATAGGTGTTGCAACTGTTTCCCTTGGTCAGAACGGGCGAGAATTCGCCTCACCTTTTGATTAAACCGCTTACTTTCCTTTTCTGCCTGGCCGTTTGTGACTTGTTTGTATGTAGAAGTGTCATTCAACAAATCAAACATTTGAATGACACTTCTACATACAAACAAGTCACAAACGGCCAGGCAGAAAAGGAAAGTAAGCGGTTTAATCAAAAGGTGAGGCGAATTCTCGCCCGTTCTGACCAAGGGAAACAGTTGCAACACCTATTAGAAGAAAAACCGGCAACTCCAAAGATGCGGGGCCTACCCAAGACGCATAAGGCTGGCAATCCGATGCGCCCCATTACCTCAGGTGTGGGCAGCGCTCCCCACCAGCTCGCCAAGAAACTAGCCAAACCCCTGTCTGACCTGCTAGGGAGAACCAGCCAGTCACACTTGAAGAACTCGGGAGATTTGATTAATAGATTGAAAGACATGGAGTTAACCAATAAAAAACTTGCAAGCTTCGACGTAAAAGCCCTCTTTACCAACGTGCCTATAGAAGGGGCGATGCAAGCTGTCTCCAGAGTGTTAGACCAAAACCCGGACATCACTCTTCCAGTGCCAAGGGAAGACTTTGTTAGGCTGGTACGTCTCTGCGTGGAATTTGGGGCTTTGGAATTTGAAGGGACCGAATTCAAGCAGATTGATGGCCTGGCGATGGGTTCGCCGTTGAGCCCGGTACTCGCCTGCCTTTTCATGGAGACATTAGAAGCGGACCACTTCTTGAGCATTGCTGGTACCGATACGACCTGGCTCCGGTATGTCGATGACATTCTGGTCATCATCAACGAAGATGTCGATTTAAATTGTATTTTGCAGCAGCTGAACAGTGTGCATCAGAAGATACAATTTACCTCCGAAGAGGAGGAAGATGGCACTATTGCATTTCTGGACGCGTGCATCCATAATCGGGGCAACAAGGCTGTATTTTCAGTGTACCGGAAGCCCACCAACAAGAATGACCTGATACACTTCTACTCGGCGCACAGCAGTCGAACAAAAACTGGAGTCGTGCTGGGATTTTATCTTCGAGCACTTCGCATTTGCTCAGAAGAATTTATCAGGGACGAGCTGAACTACATTAAAGAAGTATTTATTGGACTCAAGTACCCGCCAGGTCTTTTATGTCAGCTAGAGAAGAGGGCCGTCAAAATACGAGCTAGAGCTTCAAACGCCACAAGGAATAGCAAGAGGAGGTATCTCTCAGTCCCAGCATCAAAAGAAGTAGAAGCTGTGGACAATTTTGTAAGGGAAACTATCAATATTTCATCCCCAGCGGGCCTGACCATTAAAAACCTTGTGCAAACGAAGAAGAAAGGTTCTACTAATGAGGATAGTGTCGTTTACAAAATTCCTTGTGGTGCATGTGATAAATGTTACGTCGGTGAAACATACAGGGGCATTAGAACCAGGCAAAAGGAGCATAAGAGTGACCTTAGGTACCACCGTCTGTCCAACGCCCTTGTGCAACACGTAGATGAGGCGGGACATCTCCCCAACTGGGATGATATGTCTGTGTTGTGTAGGGGTTTGACAAAGAAGCATAGGCAGGCTGTAGAAGCAGCTTATATTCACATCTTTGACAATCTAAATGGTAATGCAGGAAAAGTGAAACTGAGCAGATTTACGGCTGAACTTATTTTGCACGATCTAAAAACCTGAAGTGCAAAGTGAGAAGCGACGGGTGTGAAGCATTGCTATTTGAATTTTAATCTGTGCCGCAAACTATTTTGACAACTTTGATGTTTAGGCGAATTATTTGCATTTTATTTTGTCTTTATGGCTTGAAAAAGATTTATATCGAAACACATGTGTAGCCAACTTAAAGTAATATAACCAAAAACGTTCCCATTGTTTTCCACTTATAATTCAATTTGTCTATCTATACGAATCTGTATATAACCTCGCGTTGTGTATTATCTTAACATCTTAACGATATTTCTTAAGAAGTGATACTTTACTTAATTCTTAATGCTACTTCAAAACACCACGGTTGCTCGGTTCCAACAACTTTTATTGCTCTTCTCGTATTTTCACTGCGCGAGATATGCACCTCGCGCCATGCCTGCTACTCATCCTCGTCTACATCTCCCCCCCCCTCTTTGGACTGACCTGTCAATCCAACACATAACTAACTCAGAGACCACCTCCTATGGTAGTGGTTCATCGACACTGAGTTTGACCAGTTTGACTACTGGTCTCGTGACTGTTTTGCCCTTCAGCTTGACTGAGACCACTCTGACATGACCGTCAGCACCTGGCATCACCTCCTCCACACGACCCATTGGCCACTTCCCCCGTGGTGCGGTTAGATCGGTCACCAGCACAACGTCACCAGGGGCGATGTCGATCTGAGGCTGAAGCCACTTCTGCTTCTGCTGCAGGGACGGCAGGTACT